AATGATTTTGTACTGCTGAAAATTGTCGTAATTGACATTCTTCAGAACCTCAATGGACAAAGTGATGGCAACAGTTTTTGCGTTCAATCATAAGTCGCTCGGTTTCTTTCATAAGGTCGGTTTCACGAGCGATCCGACATGCCCGACTGCCGAGGATCAACTGGACTATTTGATTCTATCAAAGCCGTGTACTGTTGATACTTTATAAATTTGTACTCCATTTTACGCATTTCATTTGGCGAATGTTTTGATACTGCCTTATCATTTGATATGTTCGTGTTGTTTATATGTTTATATTGGACGGAATGAGGGTAATGATTATGTTGATATCAACGATCATGTATAGATGTGGTCACGTTCGCATGTTTTCTTATTTGTTGTATTCATGAAACTCAGTGGTATTGAGATTGTTTTGAATGTACTAATCTGCTCGCGATTACTCGAATACTCGATGTACACAAGTGTTTTGAATTTGTGTTTATTTCGTAAAATGATACCAAAATGGATGATGTGTTGTGTTGTGAACGAACGTTTCATTGACCAAACAACTTAACGTAATGTTTTTCGTTGTTAATTGTGAATGTTTTCGAAATGAAATGTGTGTGACGTTCTTTTGCAACGAAAAGTTCTTCAATAAATTATGATAAGTTGACTTTTATTGTTACATGTTAACAATATTCACTATCATATACACACACACACACAAACGCATATAACACATTCAATTTGATTCTCAAAAAAACAGAAACACTTTCTTAAATCTCAATTCACTAATGGCATTTGTGATGAAAAATGACCGCAACGACAAGAAAGCAATAGAAACAAAATCTCACTGAGCATTAGTTCAACGTGAATAATTAATAACAATAAAATCAATTGTATGGGCAAAGAATGAAATACCACTAAAAGATTCCTTGTGAAAACTCATTTTTGCAGCGATCGTTACTGAATACCCCAATCGAGAAAATTAGAGGAATGGCAAAATTCATCCTCAATTTCAGTATCATTTTTATCATTGTGGTTGTTAACATCGTTTTCGTTGGTATTGAAATGACCTAATTTCGATTTAGGTTTAGTTTAATGATAATGTCGGATAAATTAAAAAGAGTTTATGTGTCACCATGTTATTCTGACAAACCATTTAACATTACCTTTCTAAACCTGTCATCAAAATTTGTGTAATTTCTATGAATTGACTTAGAAACAAGCAACCTAANGAACAAAAGAAAAATGTGCCATCCATCGATCGAATTGGAACAGTCGAATGTCATCAACTGCATCACAGCAAAAACCCACAAAGGAACACAAAAACAAATGAATGTCAAATATCATCAGTTCAAAGCAAATCAAATTAAAACATCATTTATCATTATTAACACATTATGAACACATCTCAAAACAATCAATCACCTTTTCTTACCGGTGAATAAATACTTCAATTGTGGAGGTAATGTCGGTATAAGATTCTCTGGAGGACTGTAGTTCTTCGCAATCTTAACGAACTGAAATTTCAAATTAACATTACTAAATGATAATTACTCATCTATGTGTGATGGAATAAGGCAATTGTGAAAAAAAAGCAAAATAAGTGTAGTTAATGATAATTTATTGTTTTGCAAGCACATTTCAGGTGAATAACTGGAAAACATTGTAGATCTTTTTAGTTCCATCTGACTTGTTAGAACAATTGAGTGAATGGATTGAATCGAATGTATCTGTTTGATTTATCCGTTGAATTTACCTGTTCTTTGATTGCGTCTAAAGCACCGCCTGTATTGGCCCATCGTTGTAATCGTTGCAAGTTATCAATACCAATCGCACGATCTACGTG